TTGATGTATGTGTGGGGAGGTCTATTTACAAATTATTTTGCACATGTAGTCCTCAGCTTGTTTTTGCTATTCAACCATAGTTTTGGTATTAGTGTTGATACTGATATCAATATTGATCTTATTCATCCCTCTTTAATGTTGTATTTTATTATGTAAGTATATCACATTTTATTACTCTATTCATGTATTGATGTTGTTTAGATTTTTAAGGTTATAAACCATGATAATTGAAAATCCTGATATCTGTCTCTTTGTGTACAAATGCCAATGATTTTCAAGGTTGCATACCAAGAAATTGAGTCTCTGGGTCATATGAAATGCATTAACTGTAGGATGTCTTAACAATTTGACCTCCAGAGTACCTATACTAATTTGCACTATGTTAAAATGCGGATTCTTTAACATCTCTAATACTTCATACTACAGAATGTTTTAATTTTGCCATCCTGCTTGATGAAAAGTAGTATCTCATAATTTCAGTACTAAATTGAGACTCTTTCATATGTTTATCAGCTATTTGTAACTTGTTTTCACTGAATTTCCTGTTCATAAACTTTGCCCATATTTATAATAATTTTTTTTCTCTACTGATTGGTAGAAATTCCTTATACATTGTGGATACTGTTACTTAGTTATATAAGTTGGAAAAATTTTCCCCTGTCACTTTCTTTAAAAAAGTTTTTTTTTTTGCTTTCATGCCCTTTTATTTTTTATATTTTTTATTGTTATGTTAATCACCATACATTACATCATTAGTTTTTGATGTAGGGTTCCATGATTCATTGTTTGTGCATAACACCCAGTGCTCCACACAGAATGTGCCCTCTTTAATACCCATCACCAGGCTAACCCATCCCCCCACCCTCCTCCCCTCTAGAACCCTCAGTTTGTTTTTCCGAGTCCATCGTCTCTCATGGTTTGTCTCCACCTCCGACTTACTCCCCTTCATTCTTCCCCTCCTGCTCTCTTCTTCTTTTTCTTTTTTCTTAACATATGTTGCATTATTTCTTTCAGAAGTACAGATCTGTGATTCAACAGTCTTGCACAATTCACAGCGCTCACCATAGCACATACCCTCCCCAATGTCTATCACCCAGCCACCCCATCCCTCCCACCCCCACCACTCCAGCAACCCTCAGTTTGTTTCCTGAGATTAAGAATTCCTCATATCAGTGAGGTCATATGATATGTGTCTTTCTCTGATTGACTTATTTCACTCAGCATAACACCCTCCAGTTCCATCCACGTCATTGCAAATGGCAAGATCTCATTCCTTTTGATGGCTGCATAATATTCCATTGTGTATATATACCACTTCTTCTTTATCCAGTCATCTGTTGACGGACATCTTGGCTCTTTCCACAGTTTGGCTATTGTGGACATTGCTGCTATAAACATTGGGGTGCACGTGCCCCTTCGGATCCCTACATGTGTATCTTTGGGGTAAATACCCAGTAGTGCAATTGCTGGATCGTATGGTAACTCTTATTTTCAACTGTTTGAGGAACCTCCATACTGTTTTCCAGAGTGGTTGCACCAGCTTGCATTCCCACC